TAAGGGATCTGTTCACGCTCCCCTCTCCTCCCCCGCACCCGCGACACTCCGGCCTCTCCGTGTGCCGGTCCGCTGGAGGTGTGACCACCGCGGCTCGGCTTTCGCCTCCGCGTGCCCCTCCGCGCCACCCTCCTCGCCGTCGCGTCGTCGTCTTCGGCGTCCCTCAGACCGTCCTCCAGACGCCCCTTCTCCCCCCCCCCCCTCCTCTCTTTTGCCCAATCCCCTCCGCACTCACCGGAAAGGTGTGACAAAAAAAACACGTATTGATTGTTGTTCTCTCCTTTGCTCTCCTTTCTTTGCCCATGCTCTCCCGCGCGAGGAGAATCGGGCGAGGGCGGCCGGGAGCACGGGCGGGGCGCGGGACGCTCTAACAAAGTTCAAATTGGATCCGGGCAACATGCAAGTAGGTCTCGGTAATGAGGAACGAGTCGGGACCAGAGAGTGACGAGCGCCGAGGGCTTGTATCGGCACGGCCGCGGCCCGCTGGGCCCTCCTATCCTGCGGGGCGACGCTCTTTGCCTTTGGCTCATACCGGCGCTGCGCGCCGAGATTCGTTCCGCTCTTCAAAGTTTGCCCGGGCCTCTCTCTCTGTGTGCCGTATCCGCGACATTGGCCACCGGCCGGGGCGGCCAGCCGCTGGGGGGACCACACCGTCGGCGTGTGCTATATGGTCTTTGCTTTGCTCCCGTCCAGGGCTAGGGCTGGGGATATCCCTCCACCTCCACCTCCTATACTCCTTCCCCCCTTCTTTCCATCTCCTCGAGATTGTTGCACAATGTCGTCCACTACTCTTTTCCATTTTCTCTTTCCTTCCTCCTCTCTCTCACTCACTCCCGCGTGTCAAGCTCGTAACTCCCCTGTCGCCGCCCCGTGTGGCCCCGTCCTTGGGAGTGCGCTTTGCCTTTCGCAACCCGACCCAAGCCCGCACCACCACCACCCTGTACAGTACCTCACTCACTCCTTCACCCCTTGTTGTGTGATCGCGCTCATGGCCTGTTTTGTGTTTGTTCCAGGTCCCCGACATGCTGCTGCGGCCCCCGTCACCGCGCGTCCTTCCGTGAGTATTTGAACGTGGCGTGGCACACAATATCACGACTGTATCCCTAAGTGTAAGAAAGCAAAAGTTTCAAACGACTTTGAAATCGAAAAGAGTCAGCTTGGTGTCGCGCGGACCGCCGCGTCGTCCCGCTTTAAAAACGACAACAACGAAAAGGACAGCGAAAAGTTGACCTGATGCTCATCCAACTTCAGCAGCCCCCCTGTGGGTTTTGGGGGGGGGGGGCAGCGCACGAACGAGTGTGTGCTAGCATCGGCCACGTTTTATAGTGGGTTCAATTGTTTCCCTACGCGACGCCACGCCACGCCACGGCGCACCGCGCCCCGAAACAAGCAAACAACACGTCCTCCCAGCGGCGCCCCGGCGGCCCCACAGTCCTCTCAAACATGTGCTCGGGCGAGACACGCCAGTGCGGGGCCGGTGCAGCGCGTGTCACCCGCCCACGCGCGCCTGGGCTAACAGAAAGGCTCCAAACTCGCTGGTGAAAAGTGAATAGGGCGTAAGTCCACAGACTTCCTATTGGACTTACGCCCTTTTCACTTTTTACCAGTCAACTCTCATCCGCGATTCTCTCTTTTCTCTCTCTCTTTCTCCTGTGTTGTTGCGCGAAATAAAAGTTGCCATTCTCGCCGCGACGACGACACCTTTTACCGGTGGTACGGCATTTATTTTCGAAACTGTCGTCCTCGGGCGGGCCATCGCCACGCATGCAGATAGGGCGTCGTGCGCTCCGCGTGCTCGCTCAGCCAGGGGAGAGGGCATTTCCCTTCACTGTACTTGAGACCTTTCATGGCGACGCCCTTCTCTCTCACTCGCTCGCTCTCCTTTTACTTCTCTCCTGCGCGCCCTGCTCTCCCGTTGCTTCCGGACGCACCAGACGCCACCGTGCTCGCGCTTGCATTACAATCAGTGGGAACAACTCGAGCCGCGGGGCTCCCCACCACGCCCTGCCGCCCTGCCTCGCCTCGCCTCTCCCCCCTTTACCCCGCTGTCGCTTGCCGTTGCCCTCTGCCCCCTGGCCACCCATGTGCCGCCCGGTCGACGCGCAGGGCACGCCGTCGTGGACACACTATCATCGCTGTCACACCCCCGAGCGTGTACACTGCGGTTCTTAATTGCCCTGCAAACAAAATGCACGCACTCCCTCCTTAAGATATTATTAACCATAATGAGAGTGGCGAGAGAGACCCCGGAGCGGAGGCACCGCGAGTACTTCATTGTAAACTCAATCTTTACGCGTTTTCTTGAATTTTCTTGATTTTGTAAATGAATTTTTATGATTT